CAAACACAGGTGGGTTGTCGTTGATGTCAGCTACAGATAACTGAACACTTTTGGACGAGGACAGAGGTGGAGAGCCCTCGTCAGTGGCACTGATTGTAATGTTGTAGTCAGACACCACTTCACGGTCCAGTTGTCCTGTGCTCACCAGAGAATAATAGTTTTTAATAGAAGGAACTAACTTAAAGGGGACACCCTGCTGAATAAAACAACGGACCTGTCCGTTTTTCTCAGAATCTCTGTCCTGCACGTTAATGATGCCCACCTCTGTACCAGGTGACACATTCTCGGGGATGGGGTTATTGAGCGATTTTAAGCTAATACCAGGTGGGTTGTCATTAACATCAGAAAGCTTTATTATAACTTTAGAATCTGAGGTAAGGCCATATCCATCTTTGGCATCTACGCGCATTTCATACACTGATTCTTCCTCGAAATCCAAAGGCCCTATTACTTTTATTTCCCCTGTGGTGTGATTTAAAGCAAATACTCTTTTGGCCGTTTCTGAAATACGACTTAATTCATAAGTTACTTCACCATTTAGACCCTCATCTGCATCAGTTGCGGCCACTTTAACCACTACCGTATCCAGAGGTGCGTTTTCGGGTATAATAGCGTCATATACGGCCTGGCTGAACACTGGAGCGTTATCATTAGCATCCAAGACAGTCACGTACACAGTTGCAGTGCCTGTCCTTTTGGGATTGCCTCCATCTAGTGCAGTGAGAAGTAATCTCAATTCCTGCTGTTCCTCGCGGTCTAATTCCTTTTCCAACACCAGCTCTGCATATTTACCTCCGTCTAATTTTGACTGAGTTTTCAGTTCTAAATAACTGTTTGTCTGCAATGCATAGCTTTGAACTGCATTTTGTCCGATATCTGCATCGTGCGCCTCCAAAACACGGAACCGGGATCCCTTTACAGCCAATTCGTTGATTTCTATTTTGATTTCATCTTTAGCAAAAACGGGTGGATTATCATTAATATCGTGTATCTGCAGGGAAATGCGGTGCAACTCAAGAGGAGCCTCTAAGATCAGCTCAAATTTAAGGATGCAAGATGCCTTTTCGCCACAAAGAGCCTCTCTGTCGATTCTCTCAGCCACAATCAAATCCCCGGTGTTTAGATTGATGTCACAGTACCGTTTGCGGTTCAGTTCGGTGTCAATGCGGGCCTTTCGAGCAGAAAACTTCCCCACGTTGAGTCCGAGGTCTCTTGCTATATTTCCTACAACAGATCCGGGTCTCATTTCCTCGGGAATAGAATAGCTCACATCTCCATTACCGATTTGAAGTAACTGAAGAAAGAAAGCAAAGCAGTAAAGCAGGCCAGGCACCGAATATCCATTGTGTGCCATACTGAGACGGTAACTAAAAAAAACGACTGAAAAACGTTGACAGGTGTTAATTTCCCACGTGAAAATATATGTTCGGTCCAGATAATATCACCATAAACCAGCGGATGTTGCAAATAGTGGCTGTGCAGTGAATGGCGGACCAAAGCGCACCCAACTGTACAGTTTAACAAGGAGAAGATGGAATCTGCAGCAACAAAGCAGGAGCAAGGGGTGGAGGACTGTTTCCTCTGCTGGTGAACAGCGACGCTATGAGTACAATTTCGTCTCTGCATTTAAAAAAAATCAACACTCATTGCCTAAAATATAATCGTTGTCTTGCTCGTTTTATTGTAAATCGACAGCAATCCGTGCGTAAAAAGAACAAGCCATGGTTATTCAAGGCAGTAAATTGTTATTCAAAGTTTTACTAAATATAATCATGCAAAATCTGTGAGAATAAAAAATACAAATGAGATCAGCCAAAGTCCAAGATAACAAATGAAGTCAACCAAAGTCCAAGACTATAACTCAAGGCTCGAGCAAAGAAGTTGTCGATTCTGAACGATAACTAACACTTCGAGACCAACTCGGAAATCATTCATTTTCAGGCTGGCCAAAACATTTAATCTCTGGCAAGACAAGAAACTAACTACTACCAGTAAAACCAACGTTCAGTTCAATGTCATAGGCAGGCATACCACCAAAAAAGTGAATGCACAAAAGTACTGGAGAGATGAACACAAGCAGTAATATTACAGTGGAGTAAAAAGTACTTACAAACTGTCAAACTTGCACACTGGGGCTTCAATTAAAAACAGACATTGAAAAAACCAACAGAAGAACATGACAGAAAGTCTAAATATTTGGTAGACAAAGTGTGTACCATTAGGCTAAAGTGGGGAAAAAAAAAAAAAAAAATTAAATGAAAGGGCCGCCAAAACCCGTTAAGAAACAAAACGCCTGGTCAAAAAGAATTAACTTTCAAAATGGGCCCATATAACTTTTGTTCGGGAAGAAAATTTAAAACCTTTATCTATAACTGTGAATAAATTTTTAAATATAAAAGTAAGTTTATATGACATCAGTAGGAAAGCATTTGTAAAATGACTCAAAGGGGGAACCCATGAACACATAAACAGGGACCTGATCTCAAAATGCATTAGTGTGTTATGATATTACTCTTGTGTTAGGTAATGGAAGACCTTAGCAGTATTTTCTCCACAAACGAACAAGTACACTGAAAGAAAACTTACTATAGAACTTTGGGATTTTTTTTATGCTTCTCTTCAAATGTTATTTCATCTCTTATTGTCATCTTTGCAATAAGAAACAGAAATAGATCTCTCATTCTTTTGGCAAAATTACAACTTCAATAAATATATAATTTAGAGAAAATGGTTTTGTTAATCTAAAAATGTCTTTCAGATAATCACTCTGTGGTTAAAGTGGAGTATTTTTTTTCAGTTTCTCATTTGACAAAATTTTAATATGGAATGGAAAAATATAAATAATCTATACACCTGCTAAGAATTCACTGTAATGAAGTGAAGTGAGCAGAAAACAAGTCCAAGGCCAACTGTCAGTGTCCATAGTTGAGATCATGGTTCTATTTTCGCACAATGCAATAACATGTAGACACATGGACGATTTTGTTGGTACCTTTCCGTTAAAGAAAAAAAAACCCACAATGGTCACTGAAATAACTTGAAACTGACAAAAGTAATAAGAAATAAAGCTTTACTGACAATTAAGTCAAGAAAATCAGACATTGCTTTTGCTTTGTGGTTCAACAGAATTATTTTAAAAAACAAGCTAGTGAAACGGCCCGGACAAAAAGGATGGTACCCTTAACTTAATATTTTGCTGCACAACGTCTTGAGACAATCAAGCAATTTCTGTACCTCTCAATGACACTTCTGCACCTATCCACAGGTATGTTGGCCCACTCCTCATGAGCAAACTGCGAAAGTTGTCTCAGGTTTGAAGGATGCCTTCTCCAGACTGCATTTTTCAGCTCCTTTCGCAGATGTTCAATAGGATTTCGATCAGGGCTCGTAGAATGCCACTTCAGAATAGTCTAATGTTTTGTTCTTAGTCATTCTTGAGTGTTTTTAAGCTGTGCTTTGGGTCATTACCCCGTTGGAGAGCCCATGACATAAGACAGACCAAGCTTTCTGACACTGGGCAGCACATTTCGCTCAGGATACCTTGACAGTCTTGAGATTTCATTGTACCATGCACAGATTCAAGACACCCTCTGCGAGATACAGCAAAGCAGC